GTTTCAACTACATTTATTAACCAGATAGCATTCGAGTTTCACTCGATTGTAAAAGTCGGTGTGCAGTTATGAATATCGATTCTCGAAAAAATTGATATCTTATAAAAAATGAATAATTGCTTCTACCAGTATTCGTACAACACTTTTCCCACCACACACTTACACTTGACAACACTAAAATCATTTACTGTCCTTATTGTAAACTCGAATTGTTTATGTTTCGACAGATTTGTTAATCAAAATAGAAAAGAAATTGAGAAGCAAATACGACAAAATTCATCATTACGAGAATTCTATCAACGTGTTAAAATATGTTTCTAAAGAACACTTTTGATTGATCGTTTCATTATCTATAGGCTTCATTTTTTTTTTTTGGTCAGCTGTTCTGTTCTTACAGTCGTGATGAACAAAATCAACTTATTGAATAGACCGGCGGTTAACATTTTATGCAATCTTCATCTAAATCATCTCAAAGCTTGAAAAATAACAAAATCCCACAAAAAGAAAGATACTATTATGAAATTAATAAAATCACACCTTTTAATGTATTCAGTACTGTTTACCAAATGACTGAGCTAACCGAGATTTATCCATATTTTATCTCCCTGGAAAGACTACACTGTAGAGTGTTTTTATGAAAAATATGATATTCATTTTCTCATAAATTGAGACGATCTATATGTAAAACTAAGCTGTTTCAGTGAATACCAGTAATTCATTCCAATGACGAATACTGTTTAGTGCTCTTATTTAATGATAGGAATCCACTTCGGATTTTATACTATTTGATAGATCTGGACGAGATCTACCACATGAAGCTAAGAAGGTCTACGACAAAGAAGTGAGAAAATAAATAATGGAATAGAAATTATTGTTGGCTGAAACGTATAGATTCTCTCTGTATTGTAAACCAATTGATAGTTCTCATCAAGACCTATCAAATGGAGAGGAACAGTATATAAGAAACGTGAGGGTATATATACTTTTTCAAATATTAAGAACAATGAATGTGCATGCTAGTGAAGAGAATATCCACAACCAAATCGGAAGGAGTAAGTTTTGTTTTGACACTTCAGAATTTATTCGAAAGGCTTTACGTGTCCAAAAATAAGGCTACAGTTTTTTAGTTTTCAATTTTTTTGTCATAATATGTTGTGTTTTGCGAGACATTTTACGGGACATAAAAGTGCGACACAAGATGTTCATTACCATACGTTTCTCCCAGCGAACCTATGACTTACTCTGAAAACATGGTACGAATCTATTCATCGATACATCTGCTATCCTTTTTTCTCAAAAATCGAATAATTATTATTTTTTTTCCAGTTTAATTTGAATTATAGGCACCTACTGTTGAAGTAGAAAGACAGTACGATTCTAAGGTGCATCCATTTGAAGTCTACTTAATTTCGACCAGATCACTTTGAAGTGATCTAGTCTCGATTATGGATCGATCTCTCACTATGTTTTCGTCTGAGAGTTAATTGAGAAATAATCTAGAAAAAAAAATGTACTTACGAAAATGCACAAGTTCAGTATGTTTCATCGCTTTGGTTATACTATGTCGTTGTATGCGCAACACAAAATGGCAAATGATTAATTAACAACTTGATCACAATCTATTTTCATAGTACTGCCTATGACACATTTTGTTTTAGTGTGTTGACTGAGCACAATGCACAATTTCAAGTTTATCTCTAATGGAAAATATTTCATATTGTATAGTATTTTTTTTCTAGTAATGAAGGTCATTTCAAAATCGTTCTCATTTGTATCACTCAGATATCTTTTACAGTGTTCGCATACGGCTTAATTACGACGTCTTTACAGTCAAGATCAAATGATGGTATATATCTATATTTTCGCCGTATATACACCATATTCTGGCTGTATAACGGCGCAATGTAAGTATTTTCAAAAATTAAGAAAGCTTTCGAAAAACCTCTCTTTACATTATGACAAAATTTTAAATGTTGCTGTCACAGCAAAGAAAAAGTGAATATGCTAGAGAACTGATTCTTTGACATTCGTACGATTTTAATGGGCTTGCCAATATGATGCTAATTATACATGATCTATAGATTTTCGTGACATTAGATCCTTGTGGATAAATGATGATGGACAGGAAAAGAATGAATATAATGTAATGAACAGTATTGCATTGATTTTTAATTTTAATACATTTTGATTGATTCGAACTCGTCATTATGATAGAAGAACATAAATAACCAATAAAGAAAAACTCTTGATGAGATACAACCACATAGAAAGAAAGCAAGGAAGAAAAAAAATGCAGTGTTACATTTTTTCAGTAGTCCACTCTTTACATAATGAGAATTACTTCGTGCGTGTGTTTTTGTTTCGTTGACTTATTCGTTTTAAATGAACTCTTTTATTGATCTTTCTTGTTTGTCATAGTTATATTTTCAGGAGAAACCTAGCAAAACATGTAATCAATGTTACAATTATTATTTTTTACTCGAGAAACAAAATTCCGTTTTTTTGCAAAGACATGCGGCATGTGCTTCAATGATTGATGTTTTGGTTTTGTTACTTTTGAATTAAGAAAAGCAATGTTCATGGCTTTAATATCTATGTTGACTTCAGTTAAAAAGATACCTGCGATACTTTTCATTATTTGTCAGCTGTATGCAAATATAGATGATCCTTTCCCGCATGCATGCAAAGCAGATGTTTTCTAATATGTTTTGCATCAAAAGATATTTATTATAAACATAGTTCTAGTGATGAATGTATGCATAGTGCAAGAGTTTTCGCGTAGCTATTGTGATGCACGTTAAAATTATGTGAAAATGAAATGTAAATAGATCAAACTTGAATACTATTTCCTTATAAATCGTAGAAATTAATGAAAGATCAGCATTCATTTAGAATATCAAAAGACAACAAAATTTCTTTTCATATTACACATAGTTCGAATGAATAAAGTATAAATCAAAAATCACTTTAGCAAGGTTGTAAGTGATGATATGTTCATACTGCTAGCCTTATTCATACGCCCTCACTATGGCATTGGCCTCACTGAAAAAAAAACATGAATATAAAAGTACTTGTCTAATGCAAGTCCAAATGTAAACGAAAATTTCATATTCACCTATGGCTTCAACAGCTAAAGGTCAATAATAAGTTCTTTCTCACTCATAATTTATATTCAAGTAATGACGATCCTATTGAGCTAACAAAGAAAGCAAAGACTAATTTTATTTTGAATATTGATCCGAATTCGAATCAAAACTGTTTAGTGTTACTTGACACAATTAAAACCATGATTGTGATTGGATAGCTGTGAAAATTTTGCATTACCTATGTAGTAGCAGCCTGCGTGAATTTCTAAATAAAACAAAAGTATTTTTTTGTGAGTAGGAATGCGAGAACGAAAGCAAAATTTTTTTCTAGGAGAACAGAAAACGGAAACCAAAAATGGCTGTTCGTGGGACACTATACTTGAGTCATGGAGCTCTCCTTCCAATCTTAGCACCACAGGATACACCTGTAGCAATCTATATTATTCTTAATCAACTTGATATGGTCATTTCAATTTATAGACTTGAACTATCAAAAATTATCAAAATTACTTAACAAATATCATATTGTTGGATTTATAGAAACGATGAGCATTTATTTAGTTTATTTTCTACTTTGCAGCAAGTTGTTGCTTGCATGATAGTTGAATTTGTTTTAGACAATATTTTGATTTAATGTATTGACTTCAAAAATATTTCACAATATATATATATTGACTAAGAAATATTGTAATCGACGACTTAACGTACTTATACATTTGTAAGACTTATAATTTCAATTATCTTTCAACAAAAACGAAGAGAATAATTCTTTACTCTTAGAGAATACATATGAAGAACAGTATTGAATAAATACTACGCCATTCGAGTTTAACTGTGTGGTTCCAACTAATTTGTAAATATATTCAATGTGAAACTCTATAAATTATCTCTAGCAAGTGCATACAAGTTGGCATCCGTATATTTGTTCAATATTAATTGCATGAAAATTTCATGAATTGCTTTCCCCTATTCACATGGCTTGTTGCACTTTATCCTCTCTCTACAGTTTTATAACATAAAAGTCTTATCTGTTTCTACTATGCGTCGGTTAAACGTGTCTATCGGTGTCGTTTTCTTGGAACACATGTTTTTCTCATATGCTTATGGAGAATGAGCACTTGACTATATATGCCATAAATATTGATTGAAATATTGTAAAGTTCTCGCAAAATCACGAAATAATTACTTGCTTATGGAGCAGCTTTCCCTCAAAGCACATAGGTCTCAATAGAGGGGAAAAAGTCAACAATTCATTGCATACGTAGATCTAAACGATTTTTTTCTCGGTTTTTGTATCTTGGGTTTAGCCACAAGATGAATGTCATTATATAGGACTAAAGATTCTGTGACGGATTTGAATAAGAATAATCTCAAAAACTTTATATTGTTTCCAGCGATTTTCTAGCGTGGTGTTCGTGCAGTTCCTTCGTCTATTTCTTTTCGTTCTCAATTTTTTTTCTTTTCCTTTTCCTTTTCGTTTTTCTTCCATTTTTTTCGCTTCTTTTGTCTTTCTGTCTTTTTTGCTTTCTTTTTTCTGCTTGTTTTTTTTTCTTGATTGTTTTGACTCTATTCTCTACGTCCATTTTCGATTGAAATAGTCAAAGACCTTTAAAGGCAATATATAAAGACGTTTCATGAACTGAAACCATTGAACTACATGGAACATGGCCACTTTTTACCTAAACTATGATAAAAATTCTGGTCTAAATAATGGCCACCTGAAGATGAACTTGTAAGCAACAACGAAAATTTATCATTTTCGTGTACTAATGTAAAATAGAATCAAATTTAAGTAAAAGACAAGCATGATAGAAACCAAAACTATTTTATTATACAATATAAAATCTAATAATACCAGAGAATATATGCATTTTCCTTGGACTAAAAGAACTCGAATACAGTGACTGTTAATAATTATACTTTGACATTAATAATATATTTTTGTGAAGCATCTTGTACAACATTTAGAATTTGAAATGAAACACCACCTGGCATTAGAACTTCTTTTTCATTTGGATAACTTGATATATGAGCAATATCATAAGCACGTGGTGCACTAAGTTTAACATCCGTTATTTCAATAATAAAAAGAGTATTTCCAAACATTTCAGCCATTTGTCGATCTTTACTAGTTGATGTATATGCTTCCCAAGTTTTCCATTCACCTATATTTCGTTTGTGTGCTTCAATTTCAATATTGGTTAAATGTACACCTCTATAAACTGTACCGATATAATCTTTTGAAAGACGAGAATAACCACGAATAAGATAACACAATGGGCCAAGTGTTTCTAATTTTTAACAATCATGTTCTCTTAATGCTTTGTTTAGAACAAAATATAAGAAGCTATCTTTTGTGTAAAAATGAATACATAATTCGGCTATTTTCATACGAGATTTTGCTGAATATTGATGAAGTTTTTCAGCCATATATGCTGCTTCCACATTGCTATGACTATCATGTAAAGCAGCTTCTTTTATGATACCTTGAGCACATTTTTCAATACATTTAGGAAAATGAACAAATGTTTGTTTACCAGAGGAAGAATTTAGCCAAGCTGTTAAAAATGGACACCAAGAATCAAAGTTACCATAGGAAGAAGACGACGACATTATTGGAATCGTTGAACCAAAACGATTTTCACGTAAACATTCTATACGATTAAAATTTGCTTCACGTTTAACTGGTCGTTGTTTTGTTTCATCATTTAGATTTATTTGAATAAGATGTTTAAAATCAATTCGATATCGATCTAATATAGCATACGATTTTTTTTCTTGATAACCTTCCTCAATAAGATCTATTTCAATATCGCGATATTTGGTCCATTGCTTTAGATTCGAATCAATGGTTGATGTGTTTGGCCAAGGATTCACATCCGATTGGTAATACCAAGCTATACTTTCACTTTGTATTTTTTCCATGGATAATTTCCATATAGTTTTACTTCCTTTCTTACTTTAAATGTTTTTTCTTCCCGTGTATATTTGACAATCGAAGGCTTCTTGAAGCATAATAATTGAGTAAGGCAAAATAATCGTATAACGGCCAATAGAATGAATACATGTAGCTTTACTTTTACCAGTTTACGTACAAATTTGCCATGTAATGTGGTTGGTGTCGAACGTACATGGGAATATTTGAAACAAGAATTCGATCGACATAGTGATGGTTTACCTGATGCAAAATATTATGAAACAATGGGACCTGGACCTCAATTATTTGCTGTCGTGGATAATACAGTTTATTATCATGATGAAGATAAATGGTTTCCATATAACACTGCGAATAATGTTGTACATGGAATAATGAATATCGATGATTGACCCTTATAAAGTACGTTAACACTATATTATAATATTCTTAAGGAATTGTGAAAATAAAATCTTCTATCTTATTAATAAAATAATAAAATATTGTTTTTTTTTTTACTTTTCAAAAGGCATTATTTACATTAAACCTATAAAAATTGGATATTTCTGGTCTCTGTTAATAAATACTAAATCTTTCACGAAATATTGTAAAAAATCACGAGATTTTTACCAAGAAAAGGTTTTACGCTACTTTTTCAGATAGTGCTAAAATCTATATTAACAAAGTACCACGTATTTTTTTTAAGAATCTATCTCAACAGAAAACGTATTTTTTCACAAAGTATTCTGCTCATTACTTGATAAAAGATAGAAAAAAAACAAGTAACTATTTACTCAAGAGCTTTTGTTTACCTGAACACCTAATTTTGAATGGTATCGATCGAAACTAGGCATGTAACCTGAACCGGGAGTACGGTGGGCTGGTGGCACCGATGTACCGATACAGTTTTAATCGATTTCTGTTCCAATGACTCATAACTGGTAATGGTAACTTCTGAAATCAATTTTCCAGTTAGAAGGGACTTTTATTGTGAAAATAACATTCTTTTCGCAGATTTTATCTAAATCTTTTTGAGAGAGACTAACGATGTGGCCTATGAGACCATGAAAAAATTACGATGATGATCGGTGTATTAGCACCACTCATTTCTCTTAGCAGCAAGGTATATAAATAAAACAAAACAGCCAATCATCATCGTAGGTTCCTGATGTGTGAATCACTTTCACCGGTATCAACCCTGATACTTGAAAGTTCATCCCCGCAGCTTTTGCCTTTTCAAATGCCAACTGTATAAAAAGAACATTCTTCGCTGTACTCTGCACGCGCTTATTACCTTAATCATCACAATCATCGTTCCATGCCCGATAATTACACCAATTTTCACAAGCAGTGGATGGATCCTAGCACTTAGTGATTCACCGACTCCAACTTTGATTCTTTATTGGGAACTGTCACCATTGTTTAAAATGGGAATTGATCGGATCGCAATTACAATCGGTACTAATCAGACTTGAATAGAAGCGACAAGTTACTGTTATGGTGACAGTTACTGCATGACCGAAAATTTTTCATGTGATTCTTTGATTAAAGCATGGTTATCATAGAAAAATAACGTTTCTTTAATAGAATTTGACAAAAGGTTTTCAAGGTAGTACTAACTTGACTGATAAGTAAAGTACAAAATTCCGAAAAGTCGATTTCAGATTCAAATTCCTCGACCTTCATTACCTATGGTGAAACTTTATAAAATATCGTTATTTTTGTATAACAACCTTGCCTTGACGAAAGAATCAAACCGAAGAAATTTTCGTCAGCAAGTAACTGGCAAAGTAATTATTTATGTAAAGGTAATTTCGCAACTTTAACCGATTTCAATTCCAATTAGGTGAAAATTGAAACTAGTACATCTCCAGTAATAGCGCCCTTTAACAGTTATTATTCAAAACAAAAGTACTCATTCATGTTTAGAATTCAGATTCAAACCATGATGGATCATAACAGGAAATCTCGACAGCAGAATTCACAATTAATGGGAGCTTCCCGTTCTATAAATGTCCGGCTTTCGCTAAAGTTTTCACAACTCCATGATAACTTTGGATAGAAACCGACTTTTGAAATACCCTTTGCTTTCTTAGCGTAGTGATAGCCTTGTGGCAGAATTAGAGCACCGTGGATTTCTTTTCTCCGCTTCTTCAGTTACTACTTTTAGCATTCCAAGGATGAATACACAATTCTGCGAGAATTTTTCAACTTTCTGGTGATTTTTAGCCCCTCCCACTCATAAAAAAAATGCCGACAACTCTGTTTGAGAGCACCAATAATGAAAGATTTTTTCTAAAAGTGTATTTCATGAATATTTTGATTTATTCAAGATACTATTCTAACATGTATCCTTTCAGTCGGAGAATAAATTCATACGATTGTTACTTATTCCAAATTCTGAAGAAATTTATCAACGTATGTATTATTTTCTTTCTATTGCAGTTATTGAACAGTAGCTGTTCAAATAATATTCTTACTAAATCTCATGTTGATTACATGGTGAGTGCTTTTGATTATAATAATTATATTAGATCAAGGTTTCAAATAAAGTGATCACTCATCATCTGTAATTGGAGAAAAAAAGAATGTCTTTTGTGATATAAGTTAATTTTATGTTCAACTTACACTTTTTTCTTCTGCAGCTCCAAGAAGATTTGATTAAGGATATGGATTAGGTAACGACAATGATTAAGATTGTTCACTCATTTTTTTAAAAAGTAGATAAATCTTAGTTAATCATCTCATTACACTGATACTTTCAATGCATATGTTACAAAAGGAAATTACAACGGATATGAACATGACACGTTTTTTTCCTTTCACTACAAGGATAAAACGGAAACTGATACGTTCATTGGTCTACTCTTTTCTTGTACACCTTGACGTTCATCTTGCCCAGATTGGGCATCCAATATACGAAAAATATGTTAGACTGATTTTTTTATTCTTGTTACATACAACTTCATTTTCTATTTGAATATTAAGAAGTACTTCATGAAAAAAATTGTCATATCTAATTAAGTTCTATCAATATGAAATACTTCTTAAAGAAAAAAGAAGTCTCTTTCTTCTGCTATCTGTTAAAAAAAAACTTTTCGATTCTTCTGTAGATTGACAACATTCTATGCACTAATTGTTCTAATTGACGGGATACATCAAAGAGTGTAGGTGCTACTGTATAGATGATCTGTAGAAGTACCAACTCTTCAATTAAATGTACCGTTTCAAATAAATGGAAGGTCTTAACTTATATAATGAGTGACGTAAGAAAGAGTTGACCATTCTGCACTTTTTTTAATATGCTTGTGTGTATTGAAAGAAAAGACCAGCTGAATGTTGAATTCATCTTTTTCATATTCTTTCTTTTTCTGTGACAAGCACCACATGTTATTTAGGAATTTTATATATTCGAGTTTTTTGTATGTGTCAAAAAAAATAATAATAAGCCATGATGTGACAATAGAGATGCCCTTCTTCTCGGACACGTTCATTGTTCTATCACTGACCCTGAAAATATCTCTCTTCTTTTTCTTCTATCTATATGAACTTGCAGTTGTAAGGCTGTATGTTTCTACAAGACATGATCGATAAGAATTGTAAGGTCAAATAATTCTAATCATATGCTATATTATCCGATAACCAGTTGAATGAACAGTAACACATTCAGAATTATATTCGTATTGTTTTGTTAATTGCTATTTCTCTCGCCAACGGTCATCAGAACGAAAGAGAACGAGAGAATTTCTACTTTTGTTCATGATTATAATTAACGAGAACGTTGTTCAAGAAGGAGAGGAAAAAAACGAAAAAAAAAAAAAAGGAAAGGAAAGGAAAGGAAAGAAAGAGAGTGAATAAGAGAATTCTCGTTCTTTCTCATTTTAGAAGATCGCTATTTGACAATCCAAACAGATTGACTAAATACAATGATTACTTGCTGATCGAATATAAACTTCTATATTCAACATGCATTCTGCACTTAGGTTTTATTTTATTTTTAAATAATATTTAAAAAAAAAACTTTACTATCAATTTAGACCAAAACCATCTGCCAAAATACCTCCATCATTAATTCCGCCTATTGTAAGTCATATTAAAAAACCATCCATTAGTCAAAATGGACATCATGAAAAAGTAACAGTTAATGGCAAACAACATCATGAAAAAGCAATAGCTAATGGTAAGCAACATCATTCAAAAGTGCCATTAAATGAAAATGGTCATCATTATGAACATACAAAATCAAATGATTTAATATCTGAAAAATGTACATGGTCATTAGGTTTAATTAATTCAAAAGGAAAATATTTAACAGCTGAAACTTTTGGTTGTAAAATAAATGCAAGTAAGTTAGATTTTAATTTATTTCTAAATCTTGGTTACTCAATCTAATATTAAAAAAACAAAATAAAAACATTTTCTCTCTAGCTGGCACATGTTTAAAAAAGAAACAAACATGGACAATTATTTATAATATTCAAAATGATTGTGTTTATCTACAATCTTCACTTAATCATTATTTATCAACAGATAAATATGGTCGTTTAAAATGTGATGGACATGATATTGTTGATGATTGTCGTTTTCAACTTGAATATAATCAAAATGGTCAATGGGCATTTAAATCCTTAACTTATGGCATGTATTTAGGTGGAGATGTTGATCAACTTCATTGTTTTAGTAAAACACCTGAATGGTGGTCACCACATTTAGCTCTTTATCCACAAGTAAAAGAAAAAATCCTTGTTTTTTTTGTTTTTTCTCCTATGCAAAGTTTCTTATTTAAAATCTAGATTAATTTAAAACATGTTCTACGTAAACGTTATGCAAAATTAAATGATGATGAAATACATATTGATGATATTATTCCATGGGGTAGTGAAGCTATTCTTACAGTTGAATATTTTGATGGACAATATTGTATTCGTTCATGTAATGGATATTATTTTCATAAAGATGGAAAACTTATTATAAAAAAAACTAATGATACATTATTTACAATTGAACTTTT